CGGATGGAGTACAACTGACGAGAAACACTGAATTGCTACGTGGATGGAAGAAGACCGCGGAAGAGTAGAACTACAGGATTTATTAGATTATAAACAACAAACTGGAAAAGATCACAACAAAACCATTTCCTTGTATAGGCAAACTTCGAAAGGAGAATGAAATCAATCAAAGGAACGAAATGAAGATTAACAACAAAAAGAACTGGGCAACTGAATGTGGAACAAGCAATAAAATGCATAAAAGAATGCAAAGCACCATTCATCAGCAAACTATTAATGCCATGTTTTGAATATTTATAAGACATAGGTTGTTTATCGAAATTGTGCAATGAGCATAAGTGATCCAGTAAAAATTCCGCCAAATACTCTCAAATTATCGCCACCATCTAACCTATGGAGTGGATGATAAGACAAACATTAATCTATCATCAGCAATTTGGTAAAAGCAGCAATTTTAAGAAACCAGTAGATATTCATCACATGGCTTATAAGTAAAATAGAAGATGGAACCGAAACGAAAAGACTCACTAGATGCACGATTTTCAGTTTTCATTTTCGAGCATCGCCCAACCAGAGCAATCTCGGAGGTATCCAGCCATTCGGATTTCTCAAATCTGGAACATTTCGAAGCATTCATTCATTTTCACTAATTCTCAAACCGAATTCCATGAAAAACCGACTGCAAAATACTTCAGCTAAATATCGAATTTCAGTGAATGAGCACTCGAAATGAATCCTCAGAATGCTAGTGAGTAATTCGCAACTGAGATTTGCTTGTTTGCTGCTCACTGCCATCTTGACGGTGCACTCGGCACTCGACTCAACGGACTCTCATATTCGTTGTTTTTCCTCTTTTCACGCAACGAGATCGGAGCTCGTGACGAATTTGTTGACGATGTGTTGGTGCTTTGGCTAGTATTACTAGTACCGTTACTACTATTCTCGGCACCAGTCGATACCGCCGTCTGGTTGCCACTTCCATCAACGTTATGCACTTCTCGATCATCTCGATCCTTACTGCCATATCCCGGTACGTTTCCATACTCACGAGATCTGAAACAATCATTACATTGAATCACTGACCATATGCAAATTAAATAACATCTTTACTAGTCTGAAGTTCATATCAACTCTGATAGATATCAGTCGGCGTTATGTTCAACAATGAATCGTTCAAAAATGAGCTTTAGAAACGTTACCATAAAGCAATAATGAATAACCAACCTTCTGGCACTGAATCGAGGATCACCCGCTGTATGCATCTGAGGCATCCAACTGCTTGTAGTGCTGGCAGATGTAGATCCACGACGAGCATCTGAAGGCACACCAGTCCTGTCATCAGAAGGATATTGAGTTGGTGGTGAGGATCGATAGTGGGATGGAGAGGATCGATATACTGACGAGTTGTTACGATGATCTTGATCGCGAGATGACGGTGCATAGAGCTGATCTGCGCCTGCCATTGCTGACGAGGTAGAGGCAGTTTGTAGGGCGTATGGAGTGGACATGGCATTGCTCTGACCATTTGTTTGAGAGGGTAGAGAGGTTGACCGTTGATGATCGTTAGTAGATAACTGGTTGGGAACAGTACGCGGATCAACTAGCGATGAGGATGCCGTCGCGAGTCGCGGATCCGTTGGAAGGGTTGAAGTCGTTCGCGGATCAGCAATTAATGCGGATCGCTTTCGTGGATCACGAGCCACTGCTACCATACGAGGATCAGCTGCTTTGGCACTTCTTAAAAATGATAACTCATGCAGTCAAAAAACAATCGCATCACTACAATGAACAGTTATTACTACTATAATAATAATAATCAAAATGACGACTGTCAATAAATATCAAATGTCAGTCTGTATCGCATATTCTGCGTGAGTGCGGAAAGGAACTTTCACGTGGTTAATTACAATCGTTCACATTTTCGAACGAATCAGTGTGACCACAACAAACGAATCGCTGATCAACAAACTAACAAAGTCTGTTGTTCATCTTTAGCTGATTGCTGCTGTTGAGACGGCTGTAATGCGGATCGCATCAGCGAATTTGTGAAAGCGTCGAATTGTGACGATAGAGCTTTTTTGATTCGTGGATCGTTACGTAAACTTGCATCAGTTATCGACTGCTGAAATAAATGGAACTATATTACGGAACGTCTCAGATAGCCTGCAGAGCAAAGAATAAAAACTGTCAGTTGATCACAAATTCAAAATAAAAACAAAAGCGAAGTATACCTGAAGTACGCTAGCATCGATATTGGAATGTGGTGTAGGAATACCATCGATGGCGATCAACTTCCACTGAATGAAATTCGTTTGAGGGATTGTTGTCGGAGCGCTCTCCATCAGGTCAGAAACACCGCTGAACATTGGAGGACTTGCTGGAGATTCCGAGATATCTGTAAATTTGATTACAATTCATCGACTGCTCATTCGTTATCCATTCAAACACTGATGCACGACTAGATGTTATCAAATTCAGTAACTTCAAGCATGTATGTATATGGATAAATGTTAACCATCAATGTCATCTTTTTTGACTTTTGAGGTGATCTGCTCGAGCATTTTATTGATATTGAACGAAGTATCGCCATCATCGTCATCATCTTTTGCCGCTTCGGTGATCAGTGACGGGGAAATACCCTTAAACAAAAGCAACCTTGATGTAAATCACCAGCTATGAGCAGTTATTCACCTTGCGAATGAGAATAAATTCCTCTCGCTATACTGGAATAAATGAAACCAACTGCATCGAACAATACACCAAGCCACTTCAACACTATCGAAGAGCAATTTTTCATACGAATTTTGCCAAGAAATCGAAAACTGAACGAAAAACATTTTGGAATAGGAGAGCAGATCAAGATGGATGCAGCAAGTGATCGAACCTGGAATGGTTGCACCTCAATGTTTGTCATGGCTGCTGCTGCTGCAGTTGTTGCTATTGTTGAGATAGGCATAGTTGGAAGAAGAGCATTCGACGAGGAAGTGGCAACTATTGCATTCGGATCGATAATGCCCGATTGCTGTTGAAGGAGATGAGCATGTTGAAGAAACACTGGATAGGTGCTGCTAGATGCGGATGGTTGTTGTTGTGAGGCTACGAGGCTTGTTGTGGTCAGTGCTGCTGCCGAGGTGGTTGTTGAAAGGGCCGGGGGAATGACCAGTTGGGGTTGAGCAATTGTCACGGCCGCAATACCGGCCGAGACGGCGTTCGTGGACAGTGTTGGTACGACAACACTGGGCGGGGGGACTACACCACCGAGCATTGTCTCGGCTGTGCTGTTGCTCATCGTTGCGACAGCAGTAAGCGCCGACGAGACCGGAGACTGCGAGCCAGGTGGCGCATTCGGTGAGGGACCACCCGGAATGAGCACTCGTCGCTTGAGTGGAGCTTGCGGAATAGCGATACGTGATGCCAGTTCATCATCCTTCATCATCTGTATGAAACATCTTTTTATTCGCAATTCAGATTCGATCTATTTCCAATCGCAGCGTAACCTGATAACTACTGTCGGAAAAATAACTAATTTGGATTCGAAATAGTTTTGTTGCTTTCATTCTTTTGTGATATTCCTATTTGCTGAGCTCTTATTTGAGTGCAGAAAAGATATCGCTATTGCCATTTAAAAGGATACTCATCCATAGACTATTCAAGAATATTTGCAGATCTACTAAAGATGAACAAAACTAAGTATTGCTTTAAAATGGTTTCAACAGAATTGTGGATGGAAGATGAAATTATTAGATTTGATGAGCTGACCTGATCGAAGATGGGTTGTGTGAAGTTGTTGAGAGGAACGTGCGAGAACTGGCATGGATCTTTTGAGCATTCACCTTTATGAAACGCTTTGCATGGGTATTCGCCATGAAGAAGTGGACATTGCAAGCCCTTCTTACAGAATCCTTGCTGATAGAATTTACACAGTTCCGGTTTACGACCCGAATCAGCTGCATCATGCGAATATGAGCAATTTTCACCCTGAATGCGCATTCATTCATTCAATAAACTCACGCAAATTCAAAAATTGCTTGCAGAAATAAAACAGTCCGCTATATTGTTGTTGAAGGAATGCAATGTAAAAAAGGAGAATGTCACGGAATTTAACTTCAGATTGAATTCCGATACGGGAACAATGAACTTTTCAAGATCTAAACTTGCAACGCATGAACTTGGTAAAATCTCTTTTAAATTCATAGATTTTGACTGATGAGAGATCAAATTACATCAGACAACAAAAAACAAAGTTCTGAACTTACATCTCGACAATATCCTTCACGGAAGAACTTGCATATTTGCCTATCGCCCCACCTGCCTCTGAAACCCCGACCTCGATACCCACCTCGCATCGGTGGTGAATGTCCACGGATACGTTTATTCATTCCACCATATCCTGGACTTGGTGAACGACGTCGTCTAAATACATCATGTCATTGCAGAAATAAACTAATCTGGATAAAGTGAACAGCAGATATGAGCAATATTACACTTACTGCCCAGTTATGTTAAGTGATGAGTTGGATTTCAATGAATCAAGAGTTGGCTTAGATGAATGATCGTCGAAGAACAGTGCATACCTCCTATCGATCCTCGGTGAAATTGAACGATAATCACTATCACCGAACTCGTTATGTGATTCTTGATTCGTGCCGTGATGATGCGCTGCTTCACCTTCATGCACTGAACCCCAACGATAATCCTTCAAAATATATCTGCGATTATAGCCAATCGGTGAACGTTCGGTGTTCAGTGCGATCAGAATCAGTTTCAAATAACTCCTTTCGATAGAACTATGATTTATATGAAGCAAGAGATTCAGTAATAAGCTTGCGAGACAACTGTAAAGTTTTTTCGATCTGTCGAGAAAGAAAGTGACTGAAGTGTATAACAGAGATAGATATCGCTATGTGTTGATCAATCATTCGATTAATCACCTTATCAGCATGTTCTGTGTTCCTCGTTCTATAATCCTTATCAGCAGTACCCTCCTTTGGCGGGGTGGCATTCCCATACCCATAATACTCCTCATTCGAATCAATCGATGCCGTTGTCGATGGTGCAGCCGACGATGGGTTCGCACCGGCCGGTTTTGTCCTTTGCTTCAAACCACTCATCCATGAACTCAGCATACTCCCCTCACTACCTCGAGACGCCTGAAGTTCCGAATTCATTTCACTATTGCTCCGTCCTAATTGATAAATCTTCTCTCTGTTGATTTTGCAAACTCTTCACATGATCATCTTGCCAGTTCTTACGCACTGAACTGACGTTATTCACTTGCATTTGAGTATCGCACCTGTTCTACAAAGAGCTCAGTCTAACCAACTTCAACTTCCAATTGGGATAAGCTAAACGAAGCTGAACACTGCAAATAAGCGAAACCGATTTTCATACTCATCAACCATCAACATTAAAATATCCGATCTCCTTATTCAAAAAAATTTTTGCTTTTGGATTACAAATGTTTCCTCCATAAATAATCTGTTTCACTAGGACGCAATCGCTTACTGAATTGATAGAGCTTCAATTTCTTGTTTGTTTGCTCAGCACGCATCAAACAATCCCAAAAACCGATCTAATTAATTCTCATCACAGCAGAAAAAAACTTCTCGGTGAAGTACTTCTTCATATAAGCAAAATATTTTTCATAATTATCTATGATTTATGCGCTGAAACCAGCTGATTTGTAATTCTCATTGCGACGATCCGAGAAAGGGAGAGAGAGTATGCACTTATCAAATGGAACTATTCCATTGTTGCTGGTGTTGTTTTGGGATACTTGTTCATGCAAGTCAATTGCTCAAAATGACTTACAACTCTTTCAATTGGGATGAGCTAGACAACACTTGTAACTATCACCTCGCTCAATTACGATCCGTAAGGGTTTTTGTCAGATTTGTTCCATAAAAATGGAGTTTCAAATGTCTGTATGTCAAGTGAATCAATCAGTTTCTCTGACGATTCTGAAAGCGGATTCTTACTGCTTTTGTGACTGTCTCAAAAGGACTGACATCATTTGCAGAACGCTAACTTATGTAGGTAACCGCAACAATCCAACAGACTGTATGATATGCGGATGTGATTTGTTAATGTTGCTTTTGTTATCGTTTGCTTCATTTCAACGTTTAAGTGTTTTTGTTTTTAGTTTCATCCCCTCTTCAATCCTTTCATGCCGTCATTATCATATCATATCTGATATGCATTCTCGTCGATATGCGTTCTCGTTGTTCATATATATCTTACTTCTAAACTGTTAATTATTAATTAGTTTGTCATGTATTAATACCGTCTCTTCTCGGTCGAAATCCCGTCCTTTTCTCGCTGGTGGCTGACTTGCTTGTGTTTGTGGCTGTTGCGGTGTTGTTCCAGATGTGGGTGTTGCGAGCATAGAAGTACTCGATGCACTACTCTTTGCTGTCGAATCGCCGCCCTCTGAAATGATCTTATTCAGCGTTTTGTCCAAATTCTCTTTCAAGCATTTTTTTGAACAAGCATAATTTTTTGGAAGTGATATCATTTGGTCGCACTTTTGAGATAACGCACTGCAAGCGAAACGGAATGTGTTACGTTTGAAGTGAAACTTTTGCGGAGGTATTCTTTTGACTGAAAGCTTTTGCGATTTGATTACCAGATTATACATGAATAATTGCAACTGTAACAAATGCAGAAGGAAATAAAAGATTTGTCGTAAGGAATAAAACATTGCCTTTGTTATCGTCATCATCAAAGATCTCTCCCTCTTCCATCTCATCGCCAAACCCGTCTGCGCCCTCGTCCTCCTCTTCACCCTCCTCTTTCCTCTCTTCTTCATCCTCACCCTGAATCCGATCCTCATTCTGGATCGGATTCTTATTCTCGTTCTCACTGGTATCCATCACTGTACTTGAAATATTCTCGAAATCGCTTGCAGATGTCATTACGATATCAACCATTATTCTCTTTGCATTACTTCTAAACATTCATTTCATTACTTCTTTGCGTCCCGACAATGCGATTGCATGAATTCCACACAGCGAAACACTTGAGTATTTTAAGTGTCAATATTATCTTGAAATGCGACTGAGCATTAGATCAATAAAGATTTTCAAGTTTATCGTTACACTTTAATGCGCTTTCAATGAATTCTATGGTAAACAAGGACGATTCCAATAACACATTTGCACTCAGCCGTTCATTCAAAACACTTTCACGTAATCCACTTGCCAAGATTGGTTATTTTTTCAGAAATGTCATTCCAAGAAGACGTAAGTGTAAATCGAAAATAAAACAGTGGAACAATGAAATTCGCTGTGATCGTATATTCATGTGGACATAGAGTGAAGTAACGAAAGAATCATTAGTTCGAGTAGTTGCTGTATTCTTTTGGTGCCTCAAAATAATATCTCCTTTCGTGCATAACTGAAGGTCAGTAATTGTTGAAATGAAATACAAACTCATTCATTCTCAACATTCTTGAGTAGGGAGTTGCATAGTCGGAATCGCATGAACATCTGTCATATGCAAGAAGTTATTGAAAAATGGAAGCGCCGAACGCTATTTTTTCTTTCATTGCTCCAATAATATTGAAACTAACTCACAAATGTTTCTTTTTTTGCATTCTGATTGTGAATATGTGATAATGCTCAAACGTAAATGGTACATTATGAAAATGGCTATAAATCACATGCAAATATAACAAACAAAAGTATAATTGCTTGCCGATACAGCAATTGCTTTCAAGATCGGAAATGAGTCTTAAATCGAGAAAAAAAAGATCGTACTCTTGATTGTGCTCAATAGTGGAGCGTTGATAGGAATTCGTGAATTTAAACACTGGATTGTGTCAGCTGAAGGCAATAAACAAACTGTTGCCATGTTCAAACTCGTCACATAATGATTCGTCTTGAACTATTCGAATGTGTGAAGTTGGAGATTAATGAAGAATGATGCAAACAAGTGTTTAAGAGTCTACAGTGAAATGAATAAGAGATGATCACTAAAAATTTATGTGAGAACGCAGTTCACTTCATCGATGAAGAGCGAACAACTGCGAATGGTCAAAGCATTGGAATATTGAGCTTGATAAAGAAAGAGCCCACAGTAAATAACAGAAGGGTAATTCGTTTCGTTGGCAAACACAAACATCACAAAATGATTCATTCACTTGATACGACGTCAACTCGAATAAATTTCGAAACACCAAATAAGTACTTCTGAAATTTCGAAACATCTCATTTTGAAATATGACTACCTGGAGTTTGACTCGCTGAACTCAGTGCAGATGAGTTGTACTCATTTCAAACAAGCATCAGATGGACTGTCACCAAATTTCACTGAATCGCTCAAAATTGTTACTTTTCGGTCTTATCTGCGTCGTACTGATAAGAAGTGATTTCAAAAGCAGTTCGATGTGTTTACCATAAGTTCGAATCGGGCATGAGAAAGATTTCAGAAGATTGCAATACGTGTTCATTTTCACTTCGAGCAAAAAGTTCGNGATGAAATATAAGATTGACTTGCACTCTACACCTATGCATCACTCTATGAATCAAGTGCACTTAATAATAAGTTGTTAAGTGCTTCGTTGATTAATTTTCGTTGATGAATGCTTAGCCATACACTCATTCAGTTTTCCTGCAATAGTGTAAAATTTCAAGCTGAGTAATTCAGATAACCATTAACCAATAGAAGTTTTCATACATCGTTGGTGTGATTTATTAGAATCGGAATATTTAAAGGAGTATTTGAAATGCAATTAGGATATCAGCTTAATGACGAGATTGCCTCATCGTCCATAAAACGAGTGTTGTTCGATATGAGAGCTATCGTTTCCTAGCGAGAAGTCGTATTAATCTTGCAGATGTTTCAAACGAATAAATGAATGAATATAGGAACTAACCAATCATTACGCGATTCCCACCGTATCGACAATAAAAGGGCTTCACTTATGTACATGCTCCGCCCCCATCAAAATGCACATTCAACATGTAATGAAGTTGACAAGATCAGATAAAGGTAATGTAATGACTTTGCTTTCATGAGTCTCAGTTTAGATTCACATGTTAGTGTGAAGTTTGCATGCGTTCATAGAAATGCTAGCGAAGAAGTTGCTTAATATTGAGGTGGATTATTGAGCGTCAAAAAAACTTATGAATCTGCAAAACCAAAAGATTGTTGAATGAAAAATTGATGAGATGGGAACTAATGAATGCAATTTTTTCCGCATCTGAGAGCATGACTGATTCAATAGTGCACTCACTGAATCAACTGACTGAATTCATCCAGCGACAACGAAATGTAACTTCAAAACGCAACCAACACACACACACACATAACGAACGCTTTGTTATTGGCTACTCTTCAAAATGTGCATAGAATAAAGTAGAACTGTACGAGCAAGTCATCTAAAACATTCCGCCTGCACACACTCATCCAAAATTTAAAGCTTCGCTGATGAATGTGAGCATGATCATCTAGAGATGAATGATTGATTGCATGAAACTTTGAAATTCGAACCACACACGAACGATTTTTGTATTGGAAAATGTGATCGGATCGTGGATAAATAAATTAAGAGTTGATTGGCATCGATGATCTATCTCATTATATTAGTGTCACTTTTAGATGCAACTCATGAAATCTGATAGCAAACATCACTCGTAACCATGATGAATAATCACCAGATTCATTGCTCTCTATTCGAAACAAGTTACTAAACTATCTTTGAATACACTTATACTGTCGTGCTGCCGTCGATACCTAAAATGGCATCTAATTTGAAACGATCGTCGATTTATCAGATATTGAAGTTTAAGAGCCACCGAAAATGGAAGATTGGAAAAGAATTCTTGATGTGCTGAATGTAGAGATAACATCATTCAACTCTGACATTTAATCCTTTTTGGAATGAATTCTCCGCAGAACATTGCAAGTCAGTCCATTTATAATGAGCAAATGCGATGAATTCAACATTTCAACGAAAATCTGTGGGATTTAGTCCATTTCACTTAACAGTTGCACGAAGCTGCTGCGTCAGGTCAGTTCTCTCCTCTCAAACACTACGCCCTCTCACGCTTTGCGTAACATCAACGAACACCCATTGAAATTGATGTGAAACCCTTCGAAACGACACTATATCTTCAACAATATTGCTTCTTCGCTTCTTCTCCATCTCAAATGCACTCATTTTAAGCGCTCTTTAGTGAAACTCGTTAGCTTATAGTGGTTGTTCGATGTTAGTTGAGGTCTGCTTAAATAAACGCGTCGAAACGCCCCATCTAACGTTTCATCGACAAGTAAATAACTCCACCCCTCTCGTTCATTCCCTTCAGCCCAAATACTCCCTGCCAAACACACTATCATCACCTCCATTCATTCCACACCACACAACACAAAATCACAAATACCACACCACGATGAACATGAACATGATAAAGATGATCAGAGCTCACAAATTTGAATCGCACAAATCAGCGACTCTTCAGTCTGATTACAGATATCCTACCGCAGTTACAGTCACTATTAAGGTAATGTGTCAGATAACGATGATACTACTACTCTTTTCGATAATGTAGCGAAAGCAATCGAAATTTAGTGCAGTTGGATGGATGGACCAGAGTTCACTTCGACTACAGATTGAATGCATTCATCTCCACAAACACTGCCAGTGTGCGAAAGATTACCGTGTAAACAAAAATGGCATTTACACTTGGTGATGATATTGAGAAACGAAACGATGTGTTTTTGAAAGGGTAACGCTGATAAAGTAGGTGCTTTTCGTGGCAAATGAAGGCATTAATTAAGTTGATAGATACAGATAGATATCACGATTCACATTCAAACTAAATTTCAAAAATAAAGAAGAGAGATAAAATGAAAAATAAAACAAGTCGTACAGGTGGTGTGATTTCTTATGAATTTTCAGAGAACTCAGTGTTTTTGTGTTGATCCGTTGCATTTTGTCTTCACATACATGATGACGGATGATAAACGTTCATACTGTTCAAGAACAGTATAAGGTAATGATAATATCCAACAAGAACTACTAATCACAGAATGTTGTTAGATGAATGCTTGAGATTATTATTATTAGTGTTAATATGAACGGCTGTACGAGAGAATTGTGTTAAACTGAAGTTGATTAACGAAAACTATGACAAATTCATAAAATTTTTCCACTTCCCGAGAACAGCTAGTCATCGAAATCAAGAATATGCATTAAAATGCACTTCGGATTTGATTTGCTAGCCTCACTACTGAAACCACTACTCTCGGAATAGCACCACTATCATCAGCAATCTTCAGAAAACAATCCTTCGACTCAGCAACACTCCACTCAAAAGTTGATATCAAGCATTCTCAAATGCATCATTCCATTCCGCTACACTGTTTCATTATTATTATTGATATTATTAGTATTATCACAGAGCAGATAAACCGAAAAGGCTCTTGTTCCTGAAAATTGGAGCGTACGGTTAATATATAAACTCCTATGGATATTGAGACACACCATCACCAGTTTTGCATTATTGTTCAGTCGTCGAATGAGAATGTATAATAAGGTTTCGCTGGAGTTTTGGATCTTGCTGTAGCGTATTGCGTACTGCAACGAGATGATTATAAACTGAGCACACATGGATGCGATCGTCTTTGTGTGTATGTGCTGTCGGTGCGCACGCAGCACCACGCACACTCACTTATCGATTTTTAAACGACTCTCTCTCACCACCTAATCCTCTGCTGTGCAAGCCCTATCCCGTACCACTCACATCATCTGCCATATCGCCGCTCACCATTCTCAACTACACTCAAAAAAGGTTTCCTTCTCTAGACCATTATTACACACATACACCCTTCTCTCGCCGCATCTATCATATTGTTTGGCAATTTGGCAAAGAACGAGTTATTCGCTCCTCTATGGGTCAACTTTTGACGATCATTTTATAGATGCAGAGCAAATGAAATGGACTATTATTTACGCGTAGATGATTGAGAAAACGAACAGTGAAGAGGCGATGTGATCCATCCGGATACGTGAGTTTTGATGGGTGCGTGCGTGCGAGCGCGTTCGGCATAGGTCATGCGAACGCGAACATGTAATGGAAGTGAATTAAACGAAGTGATTTTATTGGATCAATAAGCAGACGAAAAGCATTTGTGTATTTTTTAATCGGCCTCTTGCAGAAGAGTCTAAAGATAAATCGCAAATAAGAGCTTCTGCGGGCAGCCTTGGGATTTTTTCCTTGAGGAATTCATTCTCCAAGTGAAGATCCGAGAATAGCTTCGCAGATGAACAGAAAAACGCACTAGTTTATCGTTGATGAGACCAAGTTACCATCGAAATTTTACCACTCAAATGCATTCAGCTGACTAATTTGAAGCATAAACTCATAATGTGATTCAATGTCATATTGGTTTCTTTTCCTTCAGCAACCACACAATTCAGCATGTTCTCATTCGCAGAACTTTCACGAATGTGATGAGCAAATGAGTTGATGGGATATGAAACATCCATGTTGATGTCTACGGAGAATCAATTTTGCGACAGAAGTAGCTATTTACAGTCTGAAAATATTCTCAGATGAGAGACGTTTTCCTCTTGATGACCAACCCGTAAATTGGAGTTGTTTCATTGCAGAAAAGTAACCGTGGAATGTAAACATCTGTTCGCAGAGTATAGTTCTAAAGCAAATGAAAACGAAAAGTTCCCTAAACAGCTGAAATGAATTGTTTCGAAAATTCTCTACGATTCCTCAGTAACGCAAGTTTGACGTTGCAAACGTAAAGGAATACATTTCAATTGTGATAATGACTGCTGATTGCACCATTCAAAACTCAACGAGCGTTCACCAAAAAAATTCCACAAACTGTCGCCCGTCAACGCACAACACATCCTCCAATCCTGTTCATCGTCAATTCGAAACACTACTTCTGTTTGCAATCAATGATCATTCATCCAAAATCGCTGCTAACAAACGTTGATGATTAGTGCAAAGAAGGCAACGGTCTCATAGTCATTTCGACGTTCCTGCACGATTGTTCAAGTTGATGATGAACCATTACCTCAGATTTTCGAATAATAAAGCCGAACAGGATTCAGCTCCGAGTCAGTATGGTGGTGATGAATTGCGCTAGAACCTTGTATTGCTTAAATCAAGAATGGCGATAATCGATTGATTTGAAAAAGATTTCAGACTCTATCATAAATGTCGCCATGATTATTTTTTCGTACATTCGCATTCCAAAACAATTTTTTCATTGTCCATTTCTCTGTCACCAGATGATCTCATCTGCATTGATTTACGAAATCTAGTGCAAATGAAAAAATACAGCGAAAAATATCCAATTTTCTCGTTTTATTTGGTTGTGCTAAAGTGAAGAAGAAATTCCGCCCAACAAATTTCAGTTGTATGCATATTACTGGTAGATTTTACATCGGAAAAATGAAGGAAGGACAGATGCTCATGAGAATGTGTTTTTGCATGAAATTGAAGTGAGCAGTTATCGATTGGTTTAAATGAATTCAAAAATAAAATCGAATTCGATCGTGGAAACGTTCACGAAACGGTTGTTGCGCATTGATGTCATATTGTGCCGATCGAAGAAAACCAGAATGATTTCGATATTGAGTGCACTTTGTATAATGCAAATGAACTTGATTAGGAAATGGCGTAAACACGAAATATGTGCACAATTATGAATAAAGTTTTTTNTTTTTTGAATCCATTCATTTTTAATGAGCAATCACAACCCATCACCAACACAAGCCTATTTGCCACCACTTGAACGCTGATGACTAAAAGTGCAAGTCTGAGAAGATCAGCTGCTAATCGCATCTCGGAAGAAATTCTGTTTAGATTTTCCTTAAGACAAATAGCACTGGCTTGCTCGCTCATCTTTTGTACATTAAGGAGATCCACCGAGGAAGCCTACTAGTGAGGAGCCAAATTTCTGGCTTTTGATAAGCGTATGATACGGAATCTTTAATGGCTATACAAGAGTTCCAACGCTTATTGAATTTATCGGTGGTCATAAATGGATACAAGCAAAACGCGGAGATAATGTGATTCACACAAGTGATGACGATATGGACTATCTAAGATTCAACGTCGTCCAAAATCAATAATTTACATTTGCAATGACCATTAACAAGAAGTTCGTAATAATTTGTTTTCGTCTATAAAAACAGGAAAGTGAGGTACCGTATCGTAGCAATGCCATAATTTAGTTCAACAGAAATGAGTCGATGTTGTTGAAAGTAAGCATCCTCTCAAGAATCTTCAATATCTAAAGGCAGTGCTCATCTTCGATCTTCACGGTTTTAGCAGTAATGACCAAGGAGGATCTCTGTGAGATGAGGCTATTTCAAGAAAGAGCTTACTTTGTAATGCTCTAGAGAACGTGCTTTAAGATGGTGGAAGTTTCAGTAATTTCAGTAAACATTAATCAACATCGAAGTATCAATAAAATGCTTTCATCGAGTAAACGTATACCTGTGATATTGCGATTAAATCGCTAATTGATTTAATTGAAAACTTCGAGAAAAGGATCCGGAAAGGAACGATCAAACTCAAAAGAACTGCAATGTTCTGATGAAGACTGAATGTAGAACATTCAATTGCTGCAAATTGCGTCAAAATGAACATGTTTAGCGACAAAGAGTTCTTCTATTCTTACGTGTAAAGATTTCTCTTCAAACGAACTTCAGAAACATTTACTCGACTTCAAAAAATACCAAAACAAGCTCAAGAAATGTCGATGCGCTATTGAAACGTGCAAACTTAATCGCAAGAAGGTTCATTTCAGTGAGCACTATGCTGTTTGTTAATCAACTTCACTTTTTCATTCACTGAACGTTGCTTCCAAATTAATGATGACGACTAAATGATAATTCAACTGAATATTGACAGTTCACGATTGATAGTTCATGACTGCATTTAGTTGTTCACAAGTTTCATTTCCATCCCATGATATTTTGATGGACAAAAGAGTATATGATGTTTCGATAGTTCATATGACAAAAGAGTATCAGTTAGTGCTGTGTCAGTACAATGAGATAAAACACATACAGTGTTCATACAATAATCAGATGCCGTATCGGAATCGGGTGCTCCATATCGTCATATACCATAAACGGTATTTTCACTCGTTTGCGTCAATCTCAAATCCAGTTTTTTAACAAATTTTCACAAAAGCATTCAGCGCACTCAACCAAAATCACTCAATTAATCTCTGTGGTACTATCCATCAGTTCCGCAATAATCGTTCGATATAATCGTGCAGTTCCGTAATAACTAACCAAATCATAGTTATACATGATCACTCTTGTCTGCCTTGGCATACGGCATTTGTTCGTGCTCTTCAAGTTCATATCAAACAAACATTCAGGCTTCTATTTGAAATTTTTTGATTATTCACTGAGAAATAAATTGGAGTGGTTGCTATGGATCTACCTGACGTGAAGATTCATTGTAAAATCGAACGAGTGAAACTCAATTACGAACTGAAAAAATTTTGAGATCCTTCGAAGAGTAACTAGCATCCATCCAACTGCATAAGCAAATCACTACTGCATAACAAAGCATTTCTTAACAATTCCTTCATGCCAATTTGATGTGATCAAAAGTTTTCAGGTGCGCGTTGAATTGATAACTCGCAACGGATGGACATCATAAAGTCTCCGCTGTCAATCAACAACGAAACACCATCAAATGCCAAAGAAGGGCAACAATCAGCTTCGCATATGCGATATTTTATGTTGTTGTATTTACTGCTATGCCTCACATCATTATGGTGTAATATTCTCAGTTTCAACATCGCCATCCTTTGCACGCATCCGCACAGGTTCATTCAAATATGCATTCCCGAACTTCATCGAACTATTTTTTGATAAGAAGCCGAACGTTTCNCGTTTCACCCATTTATTTGAACGCTTGAGAGGACTGTTGAAAAAAAATGTTTATTTTTTGAATGAACGAAATTGATAAACATGCAACAGTGTATGTGCGTTGCATCTGACCCTCCATCACGATCAAATTCTCTTTTCACATGGTTTGTATAACAAATCACGGATACGAGCAAGCTCTCGTGATATTGGCGACATTTTTTTCCCAAAAGGGACACGTCAGGTTTGTTTCGCGGCGATCCTACTCAAATGGAAAGAGGACAGTAGAATTCGATGGCAACTGTAACTGTCATGTTCACAAAACTGAATTTCAGACATCAGAATGTTAGTGTTTCGTCAGAGCAGATACGGATAGCACAGCAAAATGAGACTTTGAACAGCAATCTATCGAGTGAAACGGTTGAATTGATCAACAATCTCTTGGATGATAATGTTGACGACCCGGGATTGGCTATCGATGAAATCATTTGGTTGACACCTCATGATAAGAGTTTACTCATATCAGCGGTTGCAATCGGTGCACTTGTAAGACATTCTTTCATTCTTGACGTTCTTAAACTTCTCGAATTTTCAGTTTGAATCATTTTCGTTAATTCACTTCAAAAATTGTTAATTTCATTTCGCTATTGACAACATGAAATCGTCCACTTTTATGCAATAATCCACGCATGTATGATTTTGATTGGTTAATTACTGATTGATTTTTTTGTGTTCTATCGTACACGTCATTAATTCGTTGAGGGAATGAAATGGATGTGAAAATTATGAAATAATTATGATGAGTTGTGTATAAAATGGTGATCGTGATAATGCATCAAAATTTGATTTGATTCATAATTAAACAGCTTCACAAATATGCACATTACCGACGAGACGATTTTCGAACGCATTCTTCGTTGTGGGGGCATTGCAAAATCCATTAATTTCNAAGCCTTTTAAAAGTGATTTTCAGTCACAAAAGTTGATCTTTCTGCTCATTGATGTAATTTCGATCTGAAACGTAATCTCCTCAGCATTAACGATAACAGTGGTCGTGATAAAATTGGTTGTGATCATGAAAATATTAACAAGAGTATTTGTTGAGTTGAAAAACATTGCAGTTAGCACATTTTCCAATTGTCTGGTTAATAGACCATTATGGGATCCGTATGATATTCGGTCCATTGGGTATATTGTCTGCAATGGCAACGTTACTGATACCGATGGCTGCAAGGATTGGCTTGATCCCATTTATTGGCGTCCGATTACTACAAGGGATTGCATTTGCTACGTATTTCTCGGTTACCGGCAGTTTCATAACCAAATGGACTTCTATCGAACAGGTCTTTAGTGGATGTGCTATTATTATTGTATGAACACATTCATCGAACTCAACATCATCTCGTCAAAATATGTCAGCAAATTTCATAGGCCGTATCCGTTATAAACTTCCATCTATTTGATCCATGCCACATATTGCACTTTATAAGTGTTACTATTCAAAATCTGTGGAAAAGGTTTTCGGTGATTGCAATACCAGGAGAGGAGAAACTGGATAGAGCAGAAACAATGCATACCGATCAATTGATGAAATCTGTGAAAAAACATTCGGGTGACAATAACCGAGGCATATAGCCTTCTGATAAGAACAAGAAAATCTGCTTTGGTGAGAAAAACCAAAAAAAGAATATGAATAGTTGAGAAGATTTGTTTGGTGGAATATATTTTGAATGGTTTGGGTAAAATTTGATAGAGTGTTGCTTTCAGAGTGGATTGTTTATATCAGTTCTGGTCGCATGCCTTCAACTTTCACCGGTAATCACAATGCCAATCGGTGGCTTTGTTTGCACGTATTACTCATGGCCATACATCTATTTCGGTCATGGTGCAGTATCGCTCATCTTATTCGCATTCTTCATTCCAATTTATCGCAATTCACCCAGTAAACATCCACTCGTGAATTGTGCTGAGCTGAAACGAATCACTGCCGGTAAAGAACAAGTCACGTATGTGGTGAACATTTTATTTCATGTTTGATTTGTCTATTTGTTGAATCTACTCATCATTACTCGATTTCATTTCACGTTTTTTGCACAATAATCCACTAAGAGTTTTAATTAAATTCAGCAAAAAAGAAATGCGAACCATACCCTATATTGCAATTTTAACGACGGCCTCCGTATGGGCAATATGGATATCAGCATTTGCGCTGATGTTCTGTGATAACATTATCTTCTTCTTCGCACCCACATATCTTCACGCAGTTCTTGGATTTCAAATTAATGACACTGGCTTAACGGCCGCCATTCCAACACTTCTACAAGTTTTGATGAAGATCGGTTGCGGATCGGCTAGCGATAAAATGCGTTGTATGGGTGATGCGTGCAAGGTTAAGGTAGGCACAACACATCAAATGTTATCCATTCTGATTTATGGGTTGGAAAGTATCGAAAAGAAGATTAACTAGTGCAGCGGTTCTCACAGTGGAAAAAAGCACCTATTATGGGTAATTTGGAGGTGTCAGTGGGTAATGAAGAGGGTCGGGAAATTAGTTCGAATATGTAATTGCGGTTAGCTGGTGGTAACACTCTTCATTCGCCTATTTCTTGAGTATCATTAGGTCGTCGAGGCGTAACAGGGTTTCAATACGTTTTAACAGGGTTTTCATTCTTTTCCTCGCTGTTACAATCGCTCTCATAGCTTTCATCACCAAAATTTGCTAATCTCTCATTCATTTCACTCAACAATTTAAGTCAAATTCTCATTCTGTCAAACACACTCTATAATTGATCATTGGACTATCGAATGTTGTTGAGCAATAATATTCGACAGCTGTATGGTTGATTTCAGCTGTCAATATTCGTCAACGTTTCCAGTAAATAGTACATGCTATAGAATAAGAAACTGCTTCGAACTGTGAAGTGAAATGAGACGAATTGAATGAGAAAAACTCATCAAGAGAACGATATTCGCATAAAATAGCTATGAGAGTGAATTCAACACGTCTGAAAAGAATGAGAATTCATCTGAATAAGTTTGAGGTGAGCGTGTCAGAGG